TCAAAACAAATTAGACAACAGTAAGACATCGTATTATTCAAATTACTTTTACTCTTTTTAAAAACAAAATATTAAAATGGTTGTTTATTTTTGATATTTTTAATTTAGTTGGTCAAATAATCTAAACCCAGATCGTAAGAAAAATTTATTAGATTAAATGAATAAAATGTTCTTTTGTCTTAATTCTAATTTTTCCCTAGATTTAATTTTCTTTATTATTTTTATTAGTTTGTAAGGATCCCATAAATGAAGACGAAAAAATTTTTATTGTTCAATGCGCCGATCAAAATATGCAAAATGAAAAATTTCTTACGAAAATAGTTGATTTGACACGAAAGGAATATAAAAAATTATTTTCTGAGAACAAGATCAAGAATTTTTTGCACACTAGAAAAAGAAGACTTGATCGAATTCAAGAACTGCCAAAACTTGAAGTTTATGAGCCCAAACCTTTTCCTCCACAGTCTAATATTCCGCCTATGAAACCTATCTTTGATTGAATAACTTTTTGATAATATGATATAATATAATTGTTTTTAGTTTTTTATTTTTTTCTTAAAAAACATCTTTATTTTTAAAAAAAGCATATTATATAATGCCTAGGATTATTATAATAATATTATATTTTGTTTCTCTTTTCAATGTCTAAAAAAAAAATATGCATATATATTTAATTGATTTATTTTTAAATAAAATAATATATACTTCAATTCCATTGTAACATTTGAAAACGTCTAGAGAAACTAAAAATTTTTGTAATGTATTTTGGATAAGGTTTCAGATATTCTGTTAATAAGACACCAAGTAAAATTTATGGAAAACGAAAGGTAAAATATACAACTCGAATGATGGTTACAATACAAACATGTGACACTGAAGTTCAAGTTAACCCGTCCAATAAGAAAATAAGTATATAATAAAAAAATAAAATAAGTATTAAATTATCCCATCAAAAGAATACTCTGTAAAAATATTATCAGAAATGATCGAAACTATACTTCTAAACTTACATTTTCAAAATTATAAAAAAAAGGCAATAGAGATACTTTAGATTTTTTTTTTTTTATATTTTTTTATTCTATTCTTGTAAAAGAAAGGAAACAGGGATTCGACCATCTGTATTGATCGAAGCTCTAGATTCTTTTCTATATTTTTTTTCTCCATTTTCTCCATTTAAAAGCAAGGGAACAGTTCGCTTAAAAGAATTCTTT